CCTGAATTCTCTTTTTATGCCAATGGGACAAGTTCCTTTCAATCTCTCTAATTCGTTAAATAACAAATACAGCCCTTGCTGCCAGTGCTGCAGCAATGCCCATCACTCTCATGTCAATAGCTAAATGTAAACTCTGCTTAAGCCAATGCACTCTCCAAGGCATCCAACAAACACCTAACTACTTTCAAAGTCAACTTTATGGTGAACCTATTGGAAATGTTTTCACTTCTCTAGCCAACATGTGTGAATAAGTGAAGTAGATGATCTGCAATAGACTATTGAACAAGGAACAAGTTTGCATTACTGCAAATGAGGTGGTACAATGGCGTTTCTTGTTTTCACAAATTATGACATATGGCATAGAAAAAATATAATGAAAGATGCACTGAATTGAGACTGACAATGAAAACAAATTTGCCGTCAACGGACTTAACAGATGCAGCACTCACTGGGCTGTAAAGTCTAGTAAGATTGCAAGTTCTGCTCTTTTAAACATAAGTTAATATGAATGGTTAAGCAGACCATGATAGGGCACTGTAACAAAAATGCAGATTAATGATTAACAGAAACTTTTTAATTCAAAAGAACATTAAATGTGGTGATGATGCACCCCGGCCCATATGGTACCCATCAGTCTCTAAAGGCCTCTGTTGTGCTGTTGAGAACCACATGCTTCCTCTCTGTAAGCATGGATGTAACCTTGGAAGAGGGGCAAATATTCAGGTCCAACAAAACCCCTCCAAAGCCAGATTCCTGGAACCTGTTTATGGACACTTTGGTCGGGCCCAGGAGCAGACCCGCGAAGAGGTCCTCTGACCTCTGCAAAAGGTGCCTATAGATCAGAAGCATGGGGCTGGAGTGCAACCAAGTTTTAAGGAACAGCTCCTTCAAAAAAAAACTAAAGTGGGGCTGTAAATGAAAATAATCAGCATAAATATAGAATACTGTTTCATCCAGGCCTTAAAAACTACATGTGGCCTGGCACCTGAGCTACTTACTGATGATTACTGGGGACTGCTAAATGCAACTGTCCACCTCAGATCCCTAATGGAAAAGGCGTGGACCCTTTTGCAGAGGATTTTCCATTGGGGATTACCATCACCAGAGGGTAAAATGTAATGCTAAAGAACATTCGAGTGGCGAACAAGGCGCAAAAGCGTGTGTGTAGCAGAAGTTCACAGCAAACTCCTCTGTGCCATTCTGAAGGACAAAAAGGAGTTCCCTAAAATGGCTCAGATTATTGGGTGCTGCATCAGCGGGGGAAGATCCATTGGTACCATGCAATGTCAACTTTCTGGATGGTCAGGTCAGTTCGCTGCGAAGTTCACTACACGATAGAGCTGTCTCAATTTTCTGTGAGGCATCAGGACCGAGTACCTAATTTCTGAGACTGTGGATGGCTCAGGTCATGCACTGGTCATAGATCTTCAGTTCTGTATTCATTTCCTGCTGAGTTATCTGATTACAATGAAGTGCTGATGGAAGCTATACAAATGTATTTACTGTCTAATGGGCTAGCAAAGAGAAAATTGATCAGCATTCCCCTTCTTCATTCTGGTCACATAGTGTCTACTGGCTGTGGAATGGCAGAGAGAGGAATTTGATACTACTGTGTTTAGCATTCATCCGCTAACATCCCCAAGAGCAATTTTCAGATTTAAAGTTGTTACGGTTTGCTACTGCAAGAAAAGCAGTGCCTGCAGTGTCTTTCATAGCTTTTTTTCATACAAAGCAAATGACTTTTCAAATTGATTTTTTTAAAAAAAGAACTTAAAATAACAACCTGCAGCACAAATGGAAGACACTCTCTAACTAAAACCTGTTGTTTGTTATATGGAATGCTTCCTTGTACTTCCAATGCACATTTATCAACAAAACGTGCTCATTATGTCCTTAGAAGTGCCTGTCAAAATTAAAATTCAGAACATATCTTAGGAAATGTGTTATACTAAGTATTAAAAGATATATTTAGGAATATATTGGCCTTAATGGGAGTACAGCACAGATATACCAGATGATACTTGGATTCTTGGTTAAATTATGAGGAGAGATTACATAAGCTAAGGTTGTACTCACAGGAATTCTAAACGTTGAGGGAATGATTTTATCAAGGAAGAATGGTAGAGGTTTGGAATTCTCTTCCATGAATAGCAATTGATGTTAAATCCATTATTAATATTAAAATTGAGATCAATAGATTTTTTGCTAACTCAGTCTATTAAGGAATATTGAGCAGAGGCAGATATATAGCGTAGGATCACACATCTTCATGATCTTATTGAATGTCAGTATAGGTTTTTAATTAGTAAAGGGTGTACTGTTGTTCCTGTGCTCTTCTAGGTGGTTCTAACAGTGAAACTCTCTTTTATCTGTGATTTCCCACTTGATAAACTCTTGACATCCTTGCACTTTTTTGTGCTATAATACCAAGTAATTAACCCACTTACAATAAGACCATAAGACACAGGAACAAATTAGGCCATTCAGCCCATTGCGTCTGCTGTGCCATTCAATCATAGCTGATAAGTTTCTCAACTTCATTCTCCTGCTTTCTCCCCATAACCCTTGATCCCCTTGACAATCAAGAACCTATCTATCTCTGTCTTAAATACTCTCAATGACCTAGACTCCACAGCCTTCTGAGGCAGTGAGTTTCATAGATTCCCCACTCTCTGGCTGAAGAAGTTTCTTCTTAACTCCATTCTAAAAGGTCTTCCCTTTACTCTAAGACTGTGCCCTCGGGTCCAAGTCTCTCCTACCAATGGAAACATCTTCCCAATATCCACTCTGTCCAGGCCATTCAGTATTCTGTAAGTTTCAATTAGATTCCCCCCTCATCATTCTAAACTCCATCGAGTATAGACTCGGAGTCCTCAAATGTTTGTCATATGTTAAGCTTTTCATTCCTGGGACCATTCTCATGAACCACCTCTGAACCTTCAGGGCCAGTGCTTCCTTCCTGAGATATGGGGCCCAAGACTGTACAATACTCCAAATGTGGCCTCACCAGAGCCTTTTAGAGCCTTAGAAGTACATCCTTGCTTTTGTATTCAAGTCCTCTCAAAATAAATGCCAGAGTTGCATTTGCCTTCCTAACCATTGACTCAATCTGCAAGTTTGCCTTGAGAGAATCCTGAACGAGAACATCCAAGTCTCTTTGCACTTAAATGGTTAAGGTCTGCTCTAAAATAACAAGCAGGAGAATATTTTATATTTTATATTTTGTTTTCTACTGTCATCACCAATAATTTCTTGGCTATGGTAATTTGTCAGCCACTCAATAAAATGTTAGAAATTTACATGTATAGATGTGTATAGTTGTAATGCTCTATTTGGTCAAATCATTAAAACGTGTATTTCTTTATAAAATTAAAGTATTCAACAATTTATTCCCAAGTAATCTTAATTCGCAGATGTGAAACAAAGACTGCTATTGCTCATTTAGTCAGAGGTTTTACAAGGAAACAAAAATTAATTATTGAATCCTGGTTTCAGATGAGATAATAAATTTAGATCAATCAGTATACATTCATCTGTGGTGCCATCTTGGTATATTTTCTTTCACAGACAAGGAAGCACCATGCAAAGAGAGAATTTTTGTTTTTGAATCTTGCAAGAACTTGATGCAGGTTTTCCCTTCCAGTCGAGTACGTATTATTGACAGACTGGTGGCCTCTGAGAGTCTCAGAGGTACGACCACATGTCCTCTGGTTGGCATCTAACATAGTTTTCGGCTGGATCTTACTTTATGTTGGGACTGACACATCCATTCAAAACTGGAAGACTGATTTCTTTTCAACAGCAGCAAATGTATTTATTCCCCTTCTGATAATCCATTTAATCCTCCTGCACTGAATGTATGCATATTTTGTTCCCACTTAGGCGTGCAATGTGTTTAGCTGTTTTCAATCAGAAATTGTAAGATAATGATAAGTAAGGTTGTGAGTTAATATATTTGTGTTTAATAACAGATTATAAATTCCTTTGTACCAAACTACTTTCATTTTTTAACTAGTCATTTTACCTAAATTTTCTTTATTCATTCCCCACAAATAATTTATTATTAGAAATGATATAAAATGAAATTTTGTCAATATATTACGAACGTAAAGTTCGATGCAATCATCCTATCTTTCCTTGTATGTATATATTTGATTGCTGAACAAATTAATGATCCTGAGAATTTTCTTCTGTATTTTTTGCTCAAATGCTGTCATTTTTTTCAGTAATTTGCAGCTACCTGAACCTCTCACTTTATTTTACAGCATAGATCTGAAAGTGTCAGAAACAGTCTGCCAGTTTTGACTGAATGGATGAACCATCCCTTATCTGATATGACAGCTCATGTAGAATGATGAGCGTTGACTGCCACTCACTGGAATGACTGCTAATACAATTTTGGCTTTTCTCCCTTGCAGTGACTTTTGTAGCCGTTGTATGCAGATTCCAGGGGTTAGATCTTCTTTGCTAATCTTTGCTTCACCTCTAACACAGATATATCTTTTAAAGTGGGTTAGTTTAAACAAGCAAAATAATTTGCTAAAATATCACCTCGATCAGTAGATCTTTTTGAAATGAACAAGATTTTCTTTCTTGTTATTTCTTAACTACTGCAGGGTTGTTTTGTGCACTTCTGAAATGTTCATATTCATTTGAGCCTAATGCATTGCCCAGCATTTCAAAAAAATACAGATGGTTTCAACAAGCAGAGCTGAACTTTCCTTTTACTAAGCAAACTATAAACAGCTTGGAGCTATTGTCAAATCCAAAAGCTTCTTTCCCTGCTTGTTTGATGCAATGACAATTGTAGGTGAAAGTTCAAGCTTAGTAATGAATAGGTATAGCTAAAGCAAAAGATGTACAATGGGCAGTCAGCCCTGTGCTTTAGTTTACCTTCTTCTGGGCAAACATACAGTCGTATTTTCATTCTTAATTAAATGCTTGTGGCTAGCATCTCACAAGTATATGTTGCATGATCTCTCTCTTTGACATTTTCATAGATAAGGATGAGTGTTCCAAAGATAACGGTGGCTGTCAGCATGAGTGCATCAATACAGTAGGCAGTTATGTGTGTCAGTGTCGAAATGGATTTCTTCTACACGAAAACAAACATGACTGCAAAGAAGGTATATGTTGTTTTGATTCTTTCAGGGAGAGAAGAAGAATGTACTTATCATTTGAAACTTAAACCAAACAGAAACTAATAATATTTAGGGCAATCTTTTCCATGTGCTTGACAGATCCTTCCATTTCAGAATAATGAATATCACATTGAAGATACAAGTAAACTGACCAACTGTTTGTAAAATCATTTGAATAAGAACTAAAACTATGTTATACCGTAGTTGAATATAATGCTTGATGTTGGTGTAGCATCAGAAACCTGAATGCAGTTGAACACAAGTTCCTTTGAAAGAGCGTATACTATTAAGATGCTCTTTCAGTATAAATTGGAACAGCCAAGAGTGGTTTTCACTGCACCAACCTCATCATTGTGATGTTTACATTTGAATGTGTAGAGTTAAATTTTACAACTTTAAAAGGTGTTGACAAGTGACTCTAGTGGTATCCTATGGTGACTTGCCCAATTTTACAGTTTACAAAACAGATGTGTGTGATACAGCTACTAATTGCTTGTTTTATGAGCCAATTTGTATTCCCATTGAAATTACTTTGAAGAATGTTTTCAGCAAATGCGATTCACTGATGGACCACTGGAGTTAGCAGGATTTTTTTATAATTTATTCGGAATTTTCTGTTATTCAGTACCTTTGTGGAATTTGAGTTCCTGAGATATTTTGAAACGAATCTCTTTTCTGCCTCTCTTAATATAAAAATTGTGAAACAAAATGGGTTTAAATTTACTGGCTGAAATTCTTTCTTGATGTACACTAGGGCAGTAGTAAGGAACACCTCAACATATTTAAATGTATACATGTGAAAATTTTAATAAGGGCTCAGTGGATACATTTAAGTATCCATTTAAATGCATCAATTCAACCACAACAACTCATAATAAGTTTTCATTTAATAAAAAGTGAAATCAAATAGTAACATTGCAAAATCAAAATTCTACCCATGCATTTCTAATAATTAAACATAGCATTTGAAAATACAGAATTGCAATTTGAAACCGTGTTAAAGAAGTCCTGACAAGATTGTTTGAAATGTGCTGGTTAATGGTTAATTCACAGCTTTGTCACATCTGAAACAAGAAGAATCATAACATCTGTTAAGTAAATTGCAATGCACAGCTGAATTTTCAATACACGTTCCCAGTGGGTGGGGCTCGCTGCTGGAAGTGCAAAACTGAAAAAATAATCCTTATTTTGTTTTATCACATAAGCAGCAACGTTATGTTTCTTCCAATGCCACAATGCATCTCTTTTTTATTCTGGAAAAGCAAAGGCTGAGAGGTTGCTTCCAATTGTTTAGATAACAGACATCAGAATCAAGGATAATAAATGCATGAAAATCATTAATCAGTTTAATAAGGTCTGCTTGGCATGATGCTAAAATCTGTGAAGTGACAGCACCAAATTTGTGTGTTGCTTACCTTCATCTCAATGAACAGGGCCAGTTGTGAAGCATAACCCTTAAATTGGCCTGGATTAGATTTTAATCCTTTGTGTTGGAAAAATAATTAATTGTATATTTCTTTTTGTTAGAAGAGAGCCCTGAGCTATAACTTTGAGTCCTGACCATTAAAGGCATTAGATTGTCTAACTCTATTCAAGGATGTACCTTGTATATAAAAGCAATATTACTAGAAGGAAAAGGGCAGTAGATGTATGACAGCAGCAGATCTGCAAGTTCCCCTCCAAGCCATGCACCATTCTGAATATGAAGTATATCACTGTTCCATCACTGTGGATGAATCACAATTCTGGTGCTCCCTTTCTAACAGCATCGTGGGGCTACTTACATCAAATGGATTGCAACAGTTCAAGATGGCAGCTCACCACCACCTTAGTGGGCAATTTGGAATAAATGCTGGCCCAGCCAGTGATGCTCACATCCCAAGATTGAATTTTAAAATTCAGTTGTTACCTTTTCAAAGTATTATCAAGCTTCTTGCTTGACACAGAAAGCTGAAAACTTGAATCTCTAAATAAAAGTCACGTACAATGATTTTTATTCTTATTTGGTGATCTAGATAGCAGTATCTGACCACAAATGAGTTTCAGATAAATACTGCACAGTATTTTAACCAGCAAACACTTCAGTTCAGCACATTACTTTAAATTATGGAAATTTAAATTTGGGACACCTGGATTGGTAGGCATTGAGGATGGAATGGATGAGGCTGCGTGTCAGGAGTGTCATCTTATAAAAGTAGCCCTATTGTCTTCCTTTAAAGTGAAAGAGTAAATTTTTCATAAATGAAACAAAAATGGTGGAAATACTCAGCAAGTCATGCAAGCACCAATAGACAGAAACAGTTAATATTTCAGGCAATTCCCCGGTCCCCAACACCTCATCTTTACCATGGACGTCCAGTCCCTCTACACCTGCATTCCCCATGCAGATGACCTTAAGGCCCTCCGCTTCTTCCTGTCCCGCAGGCCTGACCAGTCCCCCTCCACTGACACCCTCATCCGCTTAGCCGAACTCGTCCTCACACTCAACAACTTCTCTTTCAATTCCTCCCACTTCCTACAGACAAAGGGGGTAGCCATGGGTACCCGCATGGGCCCAAGCTACGCCTGCCTCTTTGTAGGTTACGTGGAACAATCCCTCTTCCGTACCTACACCGGCCCTAAACCCCACCTCTTCCTCCGTTACATTGATGACTGTATCGGCGCCGCCTCGTGCTCCCACGAGGAGCTCGAACAGTTCATACACTTCACTAACACCTTCCACCCCAACCTTAAGTTTACCTGGACCATCTCTAACACCTCTCTCCCCTTCCTGGACCTCTCTGTCTCCATATCGGGCAACCACCTCGAAACCGATATTCATTTCAAGCCCACCGACTCCCACAGCTACCTAGAATACTCCTCCTCCCACCCACCTTCCTGCAAAAATGCTATCCCCTATTCCCAATTCCTTCGCCTCCGCCGCATCTGCTCCCAGGATGAGGCATTCCACTCCCGTACATCTCAGTTGTCCTCGTTTTTCAAGGACCGTAACTTCCCCTCCTCGGTGGTCGAGAACGCCCTCAACCGTGTCTCCCACATCTCCCGCACCTCATCCCTCACACCCCGTCCACGCAATAAGAACCAAAAAAGAATCCCCCTCGTCCTCACGTACCACCCCACCAACCTCCGGATCCAACGCATCATCCTCCGACACTTCCGCCATCTGCAATCCGACCCCACCACCAAAGACATCTTTCCCTCCCCACCTTTATCTGCTTTCCGGAGGGACAACTCTCTCCGTGACTCCCTTGTCCGCTCCACACTCCCCTCCAGCTCCACCACACCCGGCACTTTTCCCTGCAACCGCAGGAAGTGCTACACCTGCCCCCATACCTCCTCCCTCACCCCCATCCCAGGCCCCAAGAAGACTTTCCACATCAAGCAGATGTTCACCTGCACATCTGCCAATGTGGTATACTGCATCCGCTGTACCCGGTGTGGCTTCCTCTACATCGGGGAAACCAAGCGG